AACAAAAATAATTAAATAATTCTAAAAATAATTCTTATTAATAAAATAAAAATAATCAATAAAAATATACATATTAATTTAAGAATTTATTTATAATATTAATAAATAAAAATTCATAATTATCCAAAATCGATATATAATTAATTAAATTTATAGAATCTAAATAAAAAATCTCTATAAATCAATAAATTAATCTATTTAAAAAATATATATATATATTAATTAATATTATAATAATCTATAAATAATTCCTTTGGAATCCTATTGATTTCCTTTTGATATCCATTTGATCTTTTTTGAATTCCTTTTGATGTCCCTCTAATTTTTTTAATTCCATTCGCCGGAATGTTCCCAATACTTCAATTATCATTAATCGGCATTGCGCCATCTGCGGTTCTAACACAAGGCCTCCACCCGTAAACAAAAGGGCGAGGTTTTGAGCAAACAATTTGGCAGTTTTTCAAGCTTTTGAGACTTATAGATGGCGTAATTGTGTGTTGTCCCTGGTGTTGATGATAAAGCAACCCCAAAAAAAAGCCATCATGTTTAACCCCAGAGTAAACACGCCGTAGACCCCAAATAGCAAAAGCAAACTATATATATATATATGTAGTATATAAGCAGTGCATTTTAACGAGATTCTATAATGCCTTCCTCGCACACGACCAAAAACGCGTCGGAGCAACACCTTTGGGCAAGACCCTACAACAGCACCAATTTCCAATCTCCAAAACGCACACGCACACGTCCACACATGTCATTAATAATACCCTATACACCAAACACCCAAGCACCAACCCAATATCCAAGCTCCGAAGCACACACGACCACACATCTAGCAGCAGCACCCTACAGCGACACCAACACACAATAAATCATATTATCTATATAATAATTAATATATTCCCAAAAAGAATAGTAATAGTATATTATCTTTAACATTTTTTTAATATATAAGATATAAGATGTTTCCGCCTTGGTATTGATTAATATTACAAATATATTCCTAATTCCTAACTGTAATACACGTGTTCTTTGCAATGATCCCAATGATTGTTATTGTCCAATATATTAAAGGATCGCATTGTTCGTTGATGAATCTATCCTTTGTCTTTTTTTTGATTAAGATTAAATCATATGTTTTCCGTATAAGTATGTATTTATCCTTTGTTCTAATGCAATCAAGGTTCCCAATTATCTTCATCAGGTGGAGGTGGTGAACGTGGCGGCATGTCCATGTTGAAGGTTAAGCCTTTAGCTTCCAGGCATTCACCTGACATTAAATTGATGTTCGATGATTAAAGCAAATAACCATGTGTTGGATACCAAAAGTAAGAACTTGAGATACAGCACAACCCCGTAGTCTTTGCCCTTCCACTGAGGCACACAAAAGCTCCCGTGCAGCGGATTGATCAGTGCGTGTCGCCACAGCTGTGTTAGCAATGATTGCCTCACCTTGGCAAAACAGGCTGGACTGATGCGCGATGCAGGGAAGTCTCCGACAAGTGGCCGTCATCAGCTAAGAAGAAGCAAAGACTTTCAACCAGTGCAGGGATGCAGTCAGGTATGTACCTAAGGTTGCAATCTCATGTCACAAGTCTAGTAAGTGGCTTTGATCTCTACCTGAAGCCTAGAGAATCATGATCAAACAATGGTAGAAAAAGCTCTCTGCATCACCAATGACATGGAGGCGAGTGTCACGATCTCTGAGCCAACGATGAGATCAAAGCCCTTTGATGGAAGGCCAGACCTGAGATGCAAGGCATGCCTAGTGCAAGCCACTTGTTGGTTGACGAGGTCGCGACGTCCATCTTGTTCAAGAGGCCAAGCCGCAACGATCTTTTTTGTCCGGACTCTTACCACTGGTACTGGACAGGCAAACCCTACAAGGCCCAAGCTGACTCAACCACTTCCAAATATGGTCATTCGACATGCTTGCTTGCAAGCTATGTATGACAAGTGGCCTCTCGGCTGCATGCTGACCCCACTCCAGGTGGGTTGCAGACAAAGACCCTCCCAGCATGAGCCCTTGGCCGCTGCAACAAAAAGCAAGCACTGAAACAAAAGCGTAGTAAAAGGAAACCATCATTCGCCATTCTTACTCAAAGGAGACAAGCAGCAAGCATCCCCTGTTGCAAGATCGGCGTGGCTCGCCTAAAGACTTGCTTGCAACAAGCGCTTCAGCAGCCAAGAGTCCGTCAGCAAAGCTGAAGGCATTCCTCGAACCATGAGATCTGTGGTCACCGACGAAGGTTGGCACCAACGACGCAACCCGTATAACACAACGGTCTTGCCGGAGAATCTAGGCCCCGCTTTCTCTAAATGCGAGGCATCTCCAAAGACAATCTGGGAAAACAGGACTGAGGTGGCCGAGGCTCTTCTGAAGAAGAGGTATCTCTTCTTCATTGCCATCAGTTGCAGTGCTGTGTGCACCTGGCAACTGCAGTAGTACGTGACCAACAGGCCATGCTCTACAGCACACTGGGTGCGAACATGTAAAAATGTGTTGTGTCCAAAGCTGGGAAGTTCAGTCTGGTTCGAGCAAAACCAAATGGGCAGTCTGGTGAGCACCAAATGCTCTTACAATCGTAGGCCTCACATGCAAAACCAACCCAGAACATGTTTTCTCAGCATGACATGCCGTCTTTCTCCATTGAAGTTGGGATCAGACCTAGTACTTTAGAGACATGATTGAAAACTTAGAAACAAAGATCCAGCCTGTGCATGTCCATGAGGTCTTTAATGGCTTTTGGGAGCGCTGCCCGTGCCCCAAGCAAAACATGCAGGAAGCACCAAGCACAGCTGCTGTGTTGGCCTTGGTGCCCGAGACCCTATACACAAACGTATATATATATATACCTACATGTGTATATTTGTGTGTGATGTGGTATACAAACGCATCGCAAATGTGAAATGCGCAGGTGCGTGTTTTCACAGCCATACTACCCGCTATCATGGGCTTGGGTCTAGGCACATCGGTGCTCAGGCAACACATCCGACAAGCACCAGCAAGACATGCCGCAGGACCCGCCGCCACCATCGCCACCGCCATATCCACACCACAACGGGCAGCAGCAGCAACAACAAACAAACAAAGACTGCCAACCCGTCCACTGTCTTTCTTCTGGTCCTTGCCTGTTCTGGCGGCCAGACAAAGCGACCCAATCTGTTTGCTTGCTACTGCTAATCATGTACCAAACACCTAGCCATTGTCTTTGATAGAGAAAGATGGGTATTGATAAGGTGCGTCTTGTATGCACACATATCATGAATTTCGGCATCTGAAATACTGTGCGCAAGAGCAAACGGTTGCATTTGAGAAACCAGAAGGCCACAGCCGGCACCCAGCTCCAGCACCTTGGCCCCCTGGAGGAACTCAGCTCGCTGGAGGATCAACGGCAACGCAGCCCAGACCTTGTGACCAAAGGCACAACAAATAGCAAACAACTTTGCTTTAACAACTTGGCATGATCCATTTCCTCTGCCACCGGCACCCACCAACAGCATCTCGCCTAAGGTTCTGGCTCCCCTCCACGTAATTGCACCTCTGGAGGCACAAGTAGTGAAACAAAGCCTTGCCTATCTATATACGCAAAACTCGCTTAAAAGTGAGCCCTGCCGAATTTGTTGGACCAGCTTGATTGATGCCAGTGAATTGAGCGAGGAATTGAGCTGAGGCACCAGATACCCCCATTGGCCAGCCATACAGCCTCTGCTCCAGAAACAAAATAACATGCGTTGGCTTGGCCGCACAGCAGTTTCCACTACCACTTTCAAGAAAATAATTGCTCCCCCGGCTGTCCCCAAACCATGCAAATTGTTGCTTGACAAGGCACTCAACTGATAGCTGTGTTTCATCTCCAAGGCTTGGTATTCTGACACCCTCCGGCACATCGATCAAGAATTTCCGCCTGAGTCCAGAGTAGATACTGCAAGGCAACTGAAGGGAAAGCATGCCCTGGAGAGGTGTCAAGCGGGCGAGCATGCTGAACCCACCCTCATTAAGCCAACGATACAGTGCTTGTGTTGCAAAAGCAAACTGCCAACTGCGCTGAAAGAACCGTGCGGCTAGCAGCACACAAATCAATGAACCCAAGCCGAGATACTTTTCATACTCGTCCTCTGCAAAGAGCATTCCAGCAAAATGTGGGTGAAACTTCGAGCTGTCTTTGAGCTTCTTTCTTGTGGCCCGCTGATATGGGGGCAATCTAGGCAAACATGAGGGACCGTTACTGCCGCTACACTGAGTGTGCGGCTCAGGTTTTCTGCTCAAATCACCTTTAAACGCTTACTTGGCCCTTTTGATCCATCAACTTCAGCATCCTCATGGCCAACATGCATGACAAAGCAGTGACACAACTCTGGAGCCAAAGGAGCCACTACAATGTTGCACTGTAACGGCAACATGTTAAGCCAGCAATAGGGAACAGTCTGAGCAGGTATTCTGAGCAACTCAACATTTCAACCTTACTGACCCTTCATCAAATAGACGGCATGTCATAAAAGGGGAGAAACTGTACCATTCACTAGGTTGCCAGGCCTGGCGGTACCTGATTGCAAAGTGACCACCTCAAACAAACCATCACAGCGCTCCAGGATAGCAAACTCTGCCGGCCTGAATAAGGAATTATGGCAGTATCGAAATTAGACACATTGGTCCAGCCACTGTCTCTAGCAACGGAAAATACACACCTTACACAAGTTGCCATTTGAACTCGCTGAAAGTTCTGTCCATTGGCATTCAGCATCTTCAATCCTCAGAAATCCATTTGGAAAGGACCGCAATCAAACAGGAAATACTTCTAGACCAAAGCGAAGTGTCTTGACATCTGATACAGTACAGTCTCAGATTCTGCAGTGAATTGAAGCTTCAGACGCTTCGTTCTCTTGCTCCCAGCAGGGAGTCAGTGTGTAGAACAAAAGGGGTCTACACCAAGTCAGCAAGCCAAATCTCTTCCTATGCACTTGCATTTCCCAGTCCCAGCCTTTCTTTTCTTGTTTTTTGCCTGCGCTTGTTACAATAGCTATGGGGAAAAAAACGAGCGGTCACTCCCCAATATGGATACTGATGTGCACGGTTCCGATCCCAGCTGGTCGCAGCTGGCCTTGGCCTTGGGCGTTCTGTCCTTCTCGTTCTTGGTTTTTGTCTTTTCAGTCTTTTGGGTTCTTTTTTCTTTCTCCTTCTCCTTCTCCTTCTTTTTCTCCTTCTTTTTACCCTTGGACCTGATCAGGGAACCTGTGACAAAACGTTGACACCCCACACATTCAAGTGTGGCGAACCTTGAACCAAGTGGCCTTGATCCTTTAGCACCAGGCTCGTCACTATCCTCCTCCTTGCCCTTTTTGCTAGCTGCTGAAACCTGCGGTGTGGTGAACCAGCGAGGAGCGGGAAGGCAAGGTCAGGCAAGGCAGGCAGTGAACCACAAAGGCGATTCGGTGCGAACCGCTCGAAACCAGATAGCACTCCGGTCTGCCATGGCTCTGGCAAAGGCATAAGCTCCAAATCCGTCCTTCGTCTTGTCGTCATCTCTTTCAACACCTCCATGATAGGTCACATGCCGAGTTGGCGGAGACATCCACATTATGGGCGTAGAGTTGTGAGTGCCAAGCAATGATACCCAAGAAACAAGAGAAACGGACAAATTGACACTGCCTTGCCTGGCCAGTCTGGCATCCTTTCGACCAAATCTTGACCCTTACCCTTGGTCACTAAGAATGTGCAGCAAATGTCACCCAGTATACAATCGAGCCTTCCGAACATGAGAAAATGCCGAGATTGGCACTGATCCTTTGCTCCAATTGTTGACTCCTCCCAAAGACAAGGAGAAGGGCAAAACGACCCCAACCAACTCGCACACCAGGTTGACAGCCCACGGCATGGCTGTGAACTCCGTGTGCTCCTTGCACCTCCTCCTCCATCTGGCTGCTTTGGTATTGATTACCGGACCTTGTCTCCTGCGTCAGTCCAAACCTATTCAAACTCAGCTTGTCGATCACCTAATCCGGATACCTCCCAGCTCGGCGTGTCGTACTCCACAATACCTGTGGTTCAGCACTGGTTGCGCGTAGAAAAGTGCCACACACTTGCAGAAACCGGACAAACAGCACCACTTCAACTCCATCAACTCCATCGCCAATACAGGTTCCAGGTCTGAGGCTGTAGCGTCGTGTGATGGGTTTACGTCGCAAGTGCTCTGGCAACTTGAGCTGCTCCATGTCCTGGGCATCCGCGTGACTGAAGCCCGCCACATTTGTGGGGCCCGGACCCCATACATATTGCCAACAAAATCAATCTAAATCTAGATCCTTTAACAAGAAGAACCCAGCATGCCGAGGACCCAGCAACTTGGCCACTTGTGTCTTCTGGGACCTTCTTGTCCAGGTGCACAATGAAAAGAACACAGCCCCCACCTTTGAAACCAAACGCTGTGCTCACTTCCAGTATTGAGTCAGGTAGCATTCATGTCCATGGCTTGAACATCTCGATCTTCATGCCCAACTTCTACCTGCCAGGCTTGACATGTCACAACAACCATAGCACACTGTTTGTCTTTGACGACACCTCCGAGATGGCCACCCCTTGTGAGGGCTGGCCTTCAGGTGCAGACCTGGGAGCATCCATATGAGACAAAAGTCAAGAAGAGAGTTTTGCATGGACAAAAACAAACATCCCAAACATGTGGTTTTGAAGGTGTGCTTGCCTGACAGCACCTTTAACTTCATTTGTATGATCCTTGATCACCTTTAAAACGAAATAGGTCGCATACTTGTCATCTTTTGCCGGGCGGCTCTTGTTGCCGGGTTTGGGAACCCTGTCGCATCTGAGCCTGCATGAAAAGTGCTTGTTGAGCTTCCAGCTTGAACAAGTGTGACTCAAAGAACACGATAAACAAAATGTTGGAGGCCAATGCTAGCATTGTGTCCACCAGAAGTTGCTTTATTCTAGAAAAAGCTAATCTCGAGAAAAACAAAAAGCTCCCCCTTAAAAAATCAAAAAGCACCCCCAAAAAGAGTGTAAACCAAAAGGCACTAGCAAAACAAAGAGCAACAAAGAAAGCAAAAAAAATGTGCAACCAATAAAGCACAGCTGGGCTTTCTGGCGCACTTTCTGGCGCACTTTTTGGAAGGGCCCACTTTCCGGCGCACTTTTTGGGAGTCCACTTTCTGGTGCACTTTTGGTCGCGTGGTGTTTTTCGCTTTTTGCGAGAAAAAAGCGAAAAAATCGAAAACAGCGACCAAAAGTGCACCGCTGAGTGCAGAAACCTCAGGGACCTCTTTGTTTTGCTTGCGCCGTTTTGGTTGCAAGTTGTTTTTGCTATTTGTTGCTTTCTTCTCTTTGTTTTGCTTGTGCTTTTTTGGCTTTTGCTTTCGTGGTTGCTCTTTGTTTTGCTAGTGCTTTTTGGTTTGCACTTTTGTTGCTTTTGTGTTGCTGTTTTTCAAGATGATCAACTTCTAGAATAAAGGGGTCTGGCGGACATAATGCTAGCAGGTTCGAGGCCATTGCTATTAGGTTTGAGGCCATCGCTGGTAGGTTGGAGGCCAGCGCAGGCCCGCTATTAGATTGGAGGCCATCGCTATTAGGTTGGAGGCCATGGCTTTTGGGTTGGCGTTTACACTCTGACTCACTAACATGGAAGTGGAAAACGGTCCTTTGGAAGACTACTTTCCTTTACAAACAGTGGGTTTTCCACTTCCATGTTAGTGAGTCGGAGTGTATTTAGGTTGGAGGCCATCGCTAGTAGGTTGGAGGCCATCGCTAGTAGGTTGGTCGCTACTAGGTTGGAGGCCATCGCTATTGGGTTGGAGGCCATCGCTATTTAGGTTGGAGGCCATTGCTAGTAGGTTGGAGGCCATCGCTACTAGGTTGGAGGCCATCGCTATTGGGTTGGAGGCCATCGCTATTGGGTTTGAGGCTATCGCTATTAGGTTGGAGGCCATGATGTCCATCTCGTGACCCGCCTGGATGTGCTCTGGTATTGACGACGCATCCGGAACAAATTTGAGGACACCGTTCTCCTCCATCTCACAGCCTTGGTCTAGCAGTAGGCGGGACGACCAGGGCGTGCAGAACAGCCAAGCGACCGATGTGAAGCTCCACCTCGTCCCACTGTCCATTCCAGAGTTCAAGCCAAATCCTCTCTTCTTCTGTGCTGACAGCTACGCCTGGGCGATGCAAAAAAGACCCCGGCAACTTGATTTGGGCTTGAAGAAGAAGTAGACTACAGAAAGAGACGAGAAGGAGCAAAGCTGTTTCTTGCTTTAGCGGTGCCTGTTGCCCCCTCTCGCTCATGCACTTTGCGCAAAAGACTTGGGGTTCGAGGATCATATTGACCCTGAGACCGTGTGGCTGCGTCACTCCGTCATCTGTTCTTCACACGGTGGAGATCGTTGATCGCGTTCACATTAACTCGCTCCCATTCCTCTGCCAGCTTTAGCAGCTCTCCTTTCGCCACATCCAGGTAGGAGAAGAGTTCGGTGATAAATTCATCTGCATCTTCATCTTCGTGTTCGACCACGTACGGTTTGCTTGCCTTGGTTTGGTCAGGTGTTTTTCTTGTCCTTCCCATTTGGGAGGAAAGTATTCTAAGCACGTGCTGTTGTCTGTTCCCCCTGCGCCTTGCAATGCATGCCCAGTCACTCGCTGACAGCGACGAATGATTTTGCAGCCAGGCACTACAATACCAATACTCAGAAGCAGAATAACCAATCCAATCAAAAGCCATGTTGGAAAACCTTCTAGGCTTCCATCGCCCAAAACTATGAATCTAGATGGGTCTGGCTGTGGAAATTCTCTGGGCCTTGAAATCCGGTTAACCAACACACGAGCAAATTCTTCTTCACCTGTAGCTGCATGGATAATGGGACTCCATCCAGATTTGTCCAGAGCCCACACATCCGCACCAAGATCCATCAACTTCATAGCTGTCTGTAGCTGTGCAAAGGTGCACGCATAGTGCAAGGGCCGAAAGCCTACCTCATCTTCCAGCTCAAAATTAGCGCCTTGCTCCAAGAGCAGCAAGGTTACATTGAAGAGCATGTCACTACGAGAGCTGTGGTGTAGTGGGCTACGACTGTCCGCATCCTGTGGGTCAATGCGAGAGCCCGTGTCCAGCAGCAGACTGGACACTTCCAAATGGCCACCACGCGCTGCGTGATGTAAAGCCGTACGCCGAGTAGCATCTTCCAGTTCCAGGTAGGCCTTTGCCTCCAGCAGCAGCTGCGTGGTGTCCAAATGCCCAGCCCCAGCAGCGAAGTGCAAAGGAGCCCTGCGCATGTCATCAGTTGTCATCATAGCACCGGCCTCCAGCAGAAGCCTTGTTGCAGCAAGCTGCCCATTTCCAGCAGCTCTGTGCAACGGAGTCTCTCCGTCCTCACCTGTGCCTCGGTGGGATGAGCTTCCAAAGGGTCAAGTCTAGCCCGTTGGAAAGCCCATACCACGAAGCAATGAACCACCAGACTTCCCCACCCCCTAACACCTGGACTTGGACATTGGACAGCACCCCACGCTGCACCCTGAAATTAGAAAGATGGGTGACTGCACCTCAAACGAAGAACTACTGTAGATCACCGAAATCTCAACGCAACACAAAACCAGGAAGATGTTCATTTAGGAAGACCATTGGCAACACCACAAAAATTGCCGTCTAAAGCTCAGAAAGCTCAGGCGCAAGATGGTGCTTCATGCTCGAGGCTCAGTGTTAGTTGCGCTAAATCCCCCCGAGCCTGCCGCAGACAAAATCGCCTCGCTGCAAAGCTCAGAGGCCACGAAGGTGATGCAGCGCACCCAAAGCACCACGATGAGCGGGCACACAAGGGAGCAAGACATAGACGATCAGTCAAAGCAGTGATATACTTATGCAACAATAAGATAGTACGTCATTTACGCCTAACAACTTGAATGCTGCCAACCAGTGCATCCCAAAGCTACTAAGCTACTGAGCTACTCATGATCAAACACATAATCGCACGATCAGAACCATTCCCTTGTTCCTTGCATCTACCATTCAACAACCAAGTTCATCGCGGCCAGGCTTGAGCCATAGCAAGTGCGAATTGCTGCAAGTGCTTGATGGCGGTTCCTGAAGCGGGTCTTGTACGTGCATTCTGCGTGGACACTTTTTTGGATCTGTACTCCATCTTCGTCTTTGCTGAGCCCACGGCCTCGATCTCCACCTCTGTGCACCACTCTGAAGAGGTCTTCCTTGGTCGGCCGTTTTCAAAAGATCCACCTTTGCTGGATTCGGTGTTTGATCGGATGAGAACCACAGTCGCAATGCTTGAGTAGCTGAGCTTCCGCACTGAGGCGAATTGCGGTGAGATGTGCCACCTGCACACTTCTTTCGACCCTGCCCCCTAATCATGCCGAGCACAATTGCAAAAGGGCAAAGGAAGCCTTTCTAGCAATTGAGAAGTCTCTTGTCACACCCACAAATCTCCAAAGTTCCAAAAAGCCTGCTCTTCTCGTTGCTCCAACACATGAAGATGGATCCCAGCTCCCCCTGATCAGTTAAAAGTGTCATCAAACCAAGACAAAAAAGGTCACAAAGGAAAATGCAACCGGGGCCTTCTTGCCCTTCCAATATGTGGCTCTTCCATTCACAATAGCCTAAGTTAGAATTGACGAATCTTGCTGTGTTCCTGCCAGTCCTGCAGCCTTGCTCTGGTGCTTCACATCTTTGTGACTCACATCAGGGTTCTCGTTGATCGCATAGATGCCATTCAGTTCGGGGTTTTTGAAGCCATGGATCTCGTACCTGCACCACAAGTCTGTACAAATCACTGCCTGTGTTGACAAAAGAGCCCTGGGTATGCAAGACGATCGCCAGAGCCTGCCTAGACACTGCTTGCAGCGCTTGCGGCTCCTGTCAACCATGATTCACAGATATTCAAAGCATGGCATGGCGTGGTGGTTGGGATAAATAGGCACAACCTATCTTCCCCAAGGCCGTGCCTGGACGGCCACAATTTGCTCATCTGCCGCATCAGCTCCAGCCTCCTGCACCTCTGGCGCAGCCTCTGCTGTCACAGCCTCCTCTGGCGCAGCTGGCGCAGCCTCCTCTGGCGCAGCCTCCGCTGGTGCAGCCTCCGCTGGTGCAGCCTCCTCTGGTGCAGCCTCCGCCTGTGGGCCCTCTGGCTTCCTGTCTTCAATTGGAATAGCCCCAGCTTGAAAGTCAGCCACAATCTCCTCCTTATTGGCCCATGCATTATAACCGCCAGCTGGTTTGGTTTTGCCTCTCTCTCTCCCTCTTTCTTTTCTGAGTCTCGCTCTGATGATGCCTGGGGCTGGATGGCTAGCGAACCCCTGATCATAGAGCATCGAAAAGCTTCTCATGCTAGTGGCAAATGGATATGCACGCATTGTGCGCGAGAAAAGCGAGAGGCAATGTTTGATCCGGAGTGATTCAAACTTGTGGTTCACATGATCTTTACTGATTTTGTGGCCAAATTCTGCCGGGTGACTCCTCCCGATACTGCTCCAGGACTCAGCAGAAACAGTACCATATCATCCCCGTCCAGAATCTCAGAGAACTGTGGAAGTCAAAGCTGGGAACCTGACGATTTTCTCCATCCTGACAGTGCAGCTTTCATAAAACTGTCAAAAACGCTGCATGAACTGGCAGCGTCATACCTATTCATATTCGTGCTGAATGGAGGACAACTCTCGTGCTTGAGCCAGCGGCCGCCAAGACTTGACGAAACTCATTGAGAATCTGGACCTGGGAAACTTAAGGAAGTGAATGCCACTTATGCCTGGAAGAAAACGGATGCCAGTTTGCTCTTCTAGGGCCACGACAGCTCTTTCTTTCGTTATCCTCACCCTGCACAAACCATACAGGGGTTTTTTGACCAAACAAGAATGCATCTGAATGCACATGTACAAATCCATGGGTGCTATGTGAACACGATGTCAACAGAACAATGGGAAGGACCGGTGATGGAGTAAAGGGGCGTTGATCGCCTTCACATGATGTGTACAGGATGGCCAAAGAAAGCTAGAAAATTTGCCATCAAAGAATGTTAGATATCTCGAACTACCAAGACATGTTCAAGGGCATGTACGGTCCATAAAAAAGTAGAACATGAAAATCCATCTGTGTTTGTGTTTGATGTTGTCGTTGTTGTTGTTGTTGTTGCTCTTGTTGTTGCGTCATTTTATGATTGATACCTCCAATAATACCAGTATCAGTGTGGGAGGTGTCTGCGTTTCCTAGCGCAGCCACAACGATGGAGCTGTGAAGTGCCAGGTGCCAGGCACCATGCCAATTGATGAGCAAATCATGAAGTTGACCGTTGAGAGTTGGGCACAAGAAAAAGGCATGCAAATGCTTTTGAAGGTCTGTGGCTTGTGGCACGTCTGCGCCCATGTTCCATCAACTTTGGGCGCCAAGGGCAGGCGGCGAATCTTTCCAAATTCGGGAGTGTGCACTTTTTCAGTATCAAAGAGATCTGAGTTCCCACCGTTGGCGAAGACAAGTTGAAAAACGAACATGCATACATTGCATTGCAGTACATTGCATTACATTACATTCTGTTTCATGCATGCACGGCGTGCGTATGTTGCATACATTACGCGACATTACACTACATTGCTTTACTATTTACATACATAACATGAAATGACACGACAGGACACGACACGACATTCATTCATCCATTCATCCATTCATTCATTCATTCGTTCTTTCATTCATTCGTTCATTCTTTCATTCATTCAATCATCCAACCATTCATTCATTCATTCATCCATTCATTCATTCATTCCAGTCATACACGCATGCATGCATACATGCATGCATCCATACGTCCGTACATACGAACATACGAACGAACGAATGAATGAACGAACGAACGAACCAACCAACCAACCAGCGAACCAACGAACCAACGAATCAACGAACCAACCAACCAACCAACCAACCGACCGACCGACCGACCGACCGACCGACCGACCAACGAACCACAACGAACCACAACGAACCAAAACAAAACAAAACAAAGCAAAAAACAAACAAACAAACAAACAAACAAACAAACAAACAAACAAACAAACAAACAAACAAACAAACACACATATACACACATATACACACATACATACACACATACATACACACATGCACACATACACACATACACACATACATGCATGCATACATACATACATACATACATACATACATACGTAGCTCAAGCCATAAGCTGTTCAAGCCCGCGGCCCACGAAGACGGGCTAGTGAGGAAACGCCAAGCGCTTCAGGGTTGTCGTTCACGGCCCAGGGATTCCAAGGACTACCGGCCTATACTTTGCCCGTGATTGAGAGGGACAAGTTCACAGGCCCTTTCTCGGGAGCTTTGACCTTGGCACCTCAACTCCACGGACTTCAGCACCGTGATTGGAGCTTTTTCACTGTGTATCTCTCTGGCCTGAACGTGCTCGGAGCAGCGATCAACACCCTCATCCAAAGCTTGCAGCACCTTTTAGACCTCCTTCTCAGGCAGGACGATGACATCCTCGTGGAGAACATCATGGCGCAGGACCTGGCCTACACGATCTGCTCCAATCACAAGTGCAGCAATTGGAATTGGTCAAGCAAAATACAGACTGGATTTCGCTGCCGCAAATGTGTGGCACCACATGGGAGGCACAGGCGGGCGGCAAGGCAAATTATCTGCGCGCCCAATGCCACAGGCTTCGATCACACCACGAGCCAGCAAACACTGCTTGAGACCCCACCCCAGTTCTGAAGGATGCGCTCATGAATCATCTAAACGCTTATTTGCCCACGCAGGTCAAGGAACTGGTCACTAAACCCTCCAACCGAACAGCACATGGCAGGGGAGCTACAGCAGAAGGTCACGGAATTAAGAGCTTGGCCATCCGCAAGGCTCAACTACAGCAAAGCCTGGAGACCATGAAGCAGCACTATCAAGTTCTGCTCACTGATATGCAAGAACTCTAGACCAAGGTCCAGGAAGGCAACACGGCCCTGAAACAAGCCTCACAAGAATACCTCCACGCGGTCTCCAAAGATCCACGGACTCCCCTTCCTGCAGAACCCACTGCAGGTCCTCCCAGCAGCAGTGGAGTGTGTTGTTACCTATATAAATGATTTCTTTGACACCTGGGCTGAAGAGACCCGATGCAGAGGCAGACGAAGCAGCCAAGCGCAGGAAAACGGGCGCGTTGAGGGAGTGGACAGTGTGGGTAACACGCACACACTCTCAGGGCATCACCCTGAAGACTTACTGTTCCAGCGCCGGATGATGACGTCGAGTCACGTGAGGGCAGTGAGTCAGCATTTGCACAATGAACCGTTTGCTCAGCCAGAAGACTACCTTGCTTCATCTGGCTGACCAGTCCTAGCCTACACTGACACCAAAACAACCAGTATAAAGCGGGCCGGCAAAAGGTGCGTAGTCCTACTTGGGGGGTGACACGTCAGAGCAAGAGAGCACGGGGACAGGACACCACAGCTTTTGATCAAGTTGCAGGGGTACCGCAGCACGCAACCTACGCCCACCACAAATCCCAGCTTTTATATATCAAGATGCCGCTATGGCATCCAATGTTGAGCCTTGTTACACCTGCACTCCGGCGCCTGGGCAACATGGCGTCACCGAGCACTTGCCTGTGAAAGGAGGAGCAGGCAGATCGACGGCGCCCACCCACAGTGACGAGCCAATCAAGATGGCCCAACTTCCACTGCATGACTATGCATCCACCTGGCGCAGAACTTGACCATGGTAGTTGGCAACCCAATTCAAAGGTGCTTCGCCAATGCACCTTGGCGCGCATTGACCTTCATAAATACAATCTGCAGCCGTGGGGCCGCTTTCGAGCTGCGCAAGAGAGTCTGGAGATAGACTCCGCTGACCTGCTGAAGCTGTCTGGCCTCCAAGACATGGAAGCGGCACGACCTCAATGCGCAAGGAGATGCGCGCCATTCTGGTCACCATAGTCATAGTCAGGACATATACCCCTAAGAATTGTGTCCTCCACTGCAAAACCGAGATTTAAGGCACAAGAGAAAAATAAACCAAAGTCCAACCAAGGAACCTAACTAAGCAAACCAGAGGGTAAACCAAAAAGGGCTCCAGTGAGCAAACTCCGTGGGTTTCCCCAGCCCAAGGAGTAGCACAAAGTAGGCTGCCTGGGAGCCAAACAAGGTCATCGCATCACGCAACCATTTGGGCGGGGGAGAAGGCAAAAGAAAAGAGAAACGCACGAGACCGACCAGCCGTCGAAAAACGGAAAGGACGGGCACACCTGGGAGCGACCTTAGGACGAAGACGAAGTACATGACGAGCTGGGAACGTCGAAGAGCACGCAAGGGCGCCTTTTCAGCGGGCGAGACCGCTATTCTCTGGACGGGACCAGGGGCACCCAGCTGCGGTGACAAGACACCGAGCGTACAACAAATTTGCAAGGTCCTTCAGCGACGGGTACGGGTGTCACGACCGTCAGGAGTTGGTGAGGATCCTCCGCCCCCCCCACCCGGCTGATGTTTCTGCTGTCCCACCAACTGCGGTCACTGTTCGTTGGAGTTCACACAGCCGTCAGACCTGTGACGATGGAGCGTACCCCTGTGCACTCTGTTCTTCTCGTTATACACGTGTCCCCATTGTTCGGCAGTCTTCCCAAGGGCTTCCTACACTGCGACTACACCTGGCACAAAGCCACCCGCTTCACGATGAGGACTTTCCTGCCCTTTGTCCGTTATGTATTGATTACAATTACAACGTTCCGTCGCCTCCAGAAATTCAGTCTGCCCATGCCTTCAAAATCCATCGACTTCCCACTCACTTGCAAGACAGACCCATTGCGCTCGCTCCGCCTCCCTAGTGCTCAAAGGTCCCTGTCGCTCGTGTCTGTCCAGCCTCGCTGCTGATGACCATGGGCGATCGCCGCAGAACAGAAGGCCGAACTCCAGCTGGTGATCTTTGCTAGGGCAGCATTCTGCACCGTGATTCAGGAATACAAGAGTGCCAAAGCAGCGGTCCTCGCAGGAACCACTGCTAAGCGTCCACCCCTCAAGCTCCGTGTTTACCAAAAGATGGTTCAGCTCATTGTCAGGTCTAAACCGCATGCCTGAAGATGAGGCAAAGCCGTGGCCGTTGATCTTGACCTTCTCAGCGCACCCGGACACCCTGCACTTGCGAAGTCTTAGGAGTCATGCTTCACCACTCGCTGTCTTGTTCCAAAAACTGGACGGTCGCTGGCCTGATTTGACCGTCAAGAGCGGCCAATGGAAGGCGTCAAGGTTGTATCATGTCGGCGGGGCTCCGCCAGGCAAGAGTCAAGCGAGGAGACAAACTCGCGGGGCGAGGTGATTTCGTAGTTAGGCGACGGCGAACCAGCTCAGTTAAGGGAACACCAGGGCAGGACTCGTTATCGGGGAGGAAATAGTGGTAGTGATAATTTGCTTGGGTAAAACTAAGTCAATTTCTTGATTTGGAAGATCATCACACCCTCGGCCGCTGCTTCCATCAAGTCGTTGACAGGCACTTGTCGCCAATTAGCACCAAAATGCTTTTCCAAAAGCAGCGCAAGTGAGTGCAAGCAGAGGTTCTAGCTCGCCCTCAGAGCCTCCTGTTAGGGGCAGCGCTCGACTATGCCGTCGTCCACGACCAGCTGGCTGGGCGCACCTCCATCCAAACAGACTGGGCTGTACCTTGGCGACCTCATGCACTCATCACACTTGCTTTCGAACTTGACCCAGCTGTGAAGTTCTGCAGATTCCCAACACTGCCTCCAACTCCAGACGTCGACTTTCGACCTTGGAGCACGGGCCGGCCATGCCCATCTTCCGTGGCAGTTGGGCACGAAGGTCACGTGCAAGCACTGCGGCCTGGCAGAAGGACAACCGTCTGATAGTCACTCAGGCTTTGAAGAAGGAGTGGAAGGGAGCTCCAGTCAAGCAGGACCCAGGGCTGAGGATTTACTTTCCCACTCAACTGTCCAGCCAAACTCCCCCCGAGGCCACGCCCAGGCAGGCCAGGATGTAGACGATGCACCCCGGTCTACCCAGCATTTCTGGCACCCCAGGGGCTTGAAAACAGATGTATCAGATACATCTGTCCTGCGTCCAGGGCCCAACACTGAACCTGGCCCCGCCACTCCAACTCGAGAAGCCACCAAGAGGCACATCCAGTGCCAGTCGAACTCCTGAGAGCACCGACGCCCGGACCACTGACGTCATGCCCAGAGCCCTTTTCTCGCCCGAGGCGGACGAACCCACTCTCAATGCTGATGTCGCAATGATGCCTACCCAGCCTGAAGAGGCCACAACAAGTGACCACACTCCAACTACGGCAGTTGCCATGGAGACGGTGACGGCAAGCACCGACGAGGATGACACAGTGATGGTCGACCTTTTCTAGTACCACCTCTGGCTGGCGCGGCCGCAGCGGGGTCAACAAGACCCATCGTTCAGCAGTCACAAAAGAGCCTCCCTAGAGAAAAAAAACATACATACATACATGCATTGCATTGCATTGCATTACATTACATACCATACAATACCATACCATACCATACCATACCATACCATACCATGACATGACATGACATGACATGACATACATACATTACATACATACACATACCAATACCATACCGTACCATACCATACCATACCATTACATTATATACATTACATTACATACACTACATACACTTACATACATTACATACACTCCATTACATTCCATTCCACTACATTACATTACATTACCTTACATTACATACATTGCATTACATTACATTCCATTACATTATATTAAATTACATGCATACATACATACATACATCCATTCCATTCCATTCCATTCCATTCCATTACATCACATCACATCACATCACATCACATCACATCACATCACATTACATTACATACATACCATTGCATTAAAATACATTGTAAACATACAGTAACATGACATAACATCACAACGCATCATATTTATACATGCATATTTGTGCTTGATGTGGAATATCAGACGAAGACCATGCCATCACATGCATGTGAGGTTTCTTGAGCTTAGTTTATGATGGTGCTTGCTTGTGCATCAGTTTCATGCGAATCTGACCATGGTTCAGCGTTGTATAATCAAATATACAGTATATAATGACTTCTTCAAGGCTGTGTTCAGACTTGGCACTCTCGCGGCCACCCTTTTTTGTGTTGAGATTATCAGTCAACAGTCATCTGTTTGTACTATTCTTTTTCAACATACACGCAAAGGCATTGTCACAGGGGCCGACTGTCGACTCACATATAGTAGTGAGTGAGTGACTGACTTAGTGCTATCACACATATTGGCCTGTTGGGGTCTGCAGCAGGCTCGTTGAGTGTCTGAGGTACCTGGGGCACCTGAAAAAGCAGGTCAAAAGAAACATCTATATAATTTATATAGTGGCTGTCTTCCTTCCTGACTCAGGCACCTGAGGCAGCTGGGGCATCTGAGGCACCTCAAAGGTGCATGCAAGTTTCAAATAGAAAATGGGGTTTGGCTCCATGGAAATCCTCCAAACATGCTTCCAGCAATTCTGGCTCTTGTCCAGCTCAGCAACAAAAGAATAACCGTCTTTGCCTGCATTGTTGGTGCAGGTGGAACGGCGGCCGGTGGAACCGCTGCAGGCATGGTCACTGGTGCAGCTGCCATGTTGGGAAATTGCATGAAGCCTCCAAGCTGGATAATATTGCACCGCCTTTGTTCCCAAATCAGTGTGCAATTGCTGCAAAGCCATCGGCCTTGAAGAGCCATGGCCCCCATGGCCTGAAGCCAGTTGAAGACTAGTATGGCTTTGCCATACGGGAAGTTGACTTCCAAGTGCCTGTGCAGCTGCCTGCTGCATCATTGCACTGAACCTCGGTTGGCGACATGGCACAAGCATGCACAAGCCATCAGTTACTCATCAATGCCGTCATCATTGCGGTTGCTGAACTTGTTTGATTTGCCAGGGCTACAAACCCCATGCTCGGGTTCAAAGCGGGAGATTCCTGTGCATATGCTGAAATATTGACGTCATCAAGAACAAGTGAGCCGCACCTGCTGGCCACCTTTGGGCTTTGCTGCAGGTTCCCGACCTCATCTTCAGAGCGACAGGTTCCACTTGTCGCTCGGGCCAGTTCGGAAACAGAAGAACTCAGTTCCGGACGCCACTGTTCAAGAGCTTCAATACCTTTCTTGCCGCGACCTTTTCCGGTAGGTGTCTTTGCCTGTTGGACGAACGGGCTAACAGAACTTGCAGGAAGTGTATGAAACTGTCCTGCAGCTGAAACAATTATCCAGCCATTGTATCATTGTATCGGATGGGCACTTACCAATTACTGCGTGGACCGGTGCGAATATAGCGCGCACACACACACACACACATAGTTGCGGCTGTCTAGTGGCTTCAAGTTTGTAGTTTCCAGTGGCATGAGCTAAGCCCGGCTGTTTGCAAGCCACGTAGCCTATCTAGATGTTGCCATTGTGTTTTCCCATGACTGCCCTCCAAATTATACCCCTTCTTGCCGATGTGGGACGCACCTCCGGAGCAGGTTCAGCAGGAGCCTCCTCTGCTTTTGGCCTCACCGGAACAGCAGCACCCTTCCACCTCCTCGCCTGCTGGAATACAAAAAGTAATGTATCCTTTTTCCGCTCTCAGGTGATGGGTGGTTCAAACCACCAAAACAGCCAGTCAGTTGAGATTGTCACATCTTTGAGTCCTCGTTCCTCATGAACGGCCTGCACAACACCAGGCCATTGCGGAGAGAAATCATGACCTGCCACCAGCACTTCAGCATTCTTTCGCAGCTTCGGCCGCCAAGATTCCAAATCATTCTTGACACAACTGTAGAGATGGCAGCCATCAATGAAAAGAGCATCCACGCTGTTGTCTGGCAGCGATTCTGCGGCTTCCACTGACGTGGTGGGCATAAGAAAACCTCTTTCGCCAAAGGAATCGTAAAGTTGGGAGGCTCGGTGCAGGGGCAAATCCGGATGCAAATTTGAGTAATGTCCCGGGAAGGTGCCATCTGCACCTTTGAAAGGATCAACCCCAATGAGTCGCACAAAGTCCGTGTGTTCAATGATAAATCGGGAGAGCTCTCCAATGAAGACACCCACCTCAATTAGCACGAGTTCTCCCCCTCCCCGACGGTCGCGAAGCTCCTTCAACAAAGCCGCCAGCACCTGGAAGCGGAGACCGGTGAAACGGGCCTCCTCGTTCATTTTGTAATGTGGCCCGCCAGGCAACAAAGGCGCCTCTGCATGACAGTCCGTCTCTCCGAACCGCAGCCACTCATCAGGCTCGCCCCACGCAGTGTGGACCACTTTTTCTGCAGTTAAAGAATCTGAGAGCCACTGCCATTGAGTTTCGCGCCAAATCAAGGCAGTTACCCAATAGAAGAGCTCCTTTGTCACCAGTCGTGCGATTCGCCATGCTGGCAAAAGCTCGGCACTTGCTGGTTTGGATGGTTTCTTGCGGTACTCGGCAGCAATTAAATCCTCGATTGCCTCCATGGACCTGCTTACAAGTCCAGCGCTGCCAGTGCTGTGATCTTTCTTCACGATCTGCCAGCTGGTGAGCTGGGCCTGGTGCGTGGCTTCACCCACTTGACCACAAAGCTCATGGGACAAACCTTCACAAGTCCACAGCTGGTACAATGCAACTGACACCCACTCCAGGACCAAGGAGTGTAGAGTTTGGCAACCTTCAACTGTGTTGACATGCAAACCCTGGAAGCAGGCTTCGCGAAAGTCTTTCAACACCACGAGTACCTCTCGTATGGATTGCGCCTGAGCCTTGCTTGTAGAATTGCTATGCAAAAGCTCCTCCCCACAACCAAAGACCTGCCCAACGGTCTCCAGTGTTGTTAGTCCTTCGCAAGTTGCCGCATAGACACATGGAAGAGAGACAAAGGCTGTGAACAGGACAAAGGCGCCGCTGCCACCATGGCTAGGCAACATGAGTTTGCATGTTTGCCAAAAAAGTCAACGTTGGTCTCCTGCATTAGTTTTGCCTGATGCGACTGCTGCGGTTCGTCCAAAAAGCAACGCAAGTTTATTCTTTTGCACCCTTCTGGGTCTGTGCTGTACAGCATGCTTCTGCTGCGCTGGACATAAACGCCGAGGCCTCTGGGTCTGGCTGAGCCAACCACAGAACATCAACAGCGCGACATGGAGCAACAACAGCTGCCGATGCCTGGCCTGGAATCTTTTCCTCTCTCATCGTTCCGCTCACGTCGCCAGTTCGGCCTAAGAGCATCCAAAAATCCAAGCCACGAGCACTCTGAGCTCCAACTTGGCTGCACACCGCCTAGAGCGGCTCCGTCTTGGAGACCTGCGCCGGGGCAAGCGCCGCCCTTGCCGATGCCTTAGCAAAGAAGTGCGAGGTGTTTTGGTCTTTGTGCCCGACTTCAGAAGCTGCAGGCCATGCACAGGCTGTGACGAGGTTGTCGTGACATGTAGAAATATATATATATATATAAAATCACTGGCCTCTTTTTCAATGCGCTCCGCAGTTGGATCAAAACAAAT